TAGATATGGGAGTGTCATATTCTTCAACAAAGATGGATGCCTCAAGACAAGATTGCGCCATTCCTCCTTGTCGATTTTACCATCGTGCTTTGTATCTGCTTCCTCAAATGTCTAGTGATGAAGAAAAAAAATTGCCCCCTTAAGCAAAAGAATAAATTCAACAGACATACTCCCTCCGTCCGAAAATACTCGTCGGAGAAATGAACAAAAATGGATGTATCTTAGAACTAAAATACATCTAGATACATTCATTTCTCCGACAAGTATTTCCGGACGGAGGGAGTACATCATAGCAAAAGTACACTCTAAGTATACCTTGTCGATAATACCCTCTATAACCTCATCAGAAAGGTTCATTCCTGATTCAGCAAGTGTGGCAACCACCATTTGCTTCACCTGACAATTAAGAAGGCACACAATGACTTTTTCCCAAGGTGATTGCTCCTAGCTGAACTTTATGTTATATAGACATGCTTTCTCCAAGCACAAAACAAAGGAGTAACATTAAGATGGAAGGATTGCAGAAGGGCGTCAGTCTATGTACGAGTACTTCACACGGTTAACTCGATTTAGTTATTGCTGACATGCATAGCTCTCTCACCACACGTACTTCTCACTGTCACTAAAATAAATTCCTTGAACAGGAACAAGATTGACAGTATGAACAAATGGACTTCTAACTCATAACAAAATACAATAGAACAGAAAAAGAGTTCACAATAGGCAAAATGAAGGTAGTACCTCTTGCTTTTCAATGAAACCTTGTTGTTTGAGATCATAGAGTTTGAAAGCAACTGCAAGTAGTTATGGCATAAGATTAGAAGAACAGATGATTTAGTATGACACAAGCATAAATTCTTACCGATGTGAATGCTATGTATACAAGAACTCAAGAAGAGATTGAGACAAAAGGGCATTCATGTGCTTGCATGCAAGAAACCAAAGAAGAAAATTGAACGCAACATGGCCTAAGTAATAACAGATGAGTGTGTATGAACTGCCTAAGACTGGGATCCATATGTATCTACACACCACCCTCCCTCGGCCCCTCACTTCCAGGGTGGTCTCCACATACAACAAAACTAAAAGAGATAGTGTCTAGCTGCAAGCTGCAACCACTAGGATCCCAATGATAGTTCGTCTAAATTGCAGGGTTGAGTATATCAATGATAACAGTTTGTGTGCTCCACATACAACTAAATTAAAAGAGATAGTGTCTGGCTGCAAGCTGCAACCACTAGGATTCCAATGATAGTTCGTCTAAATTGCAGGGTTGAGTATATCAATGATAACAGTTTGTGTGCTCCACATACAACTAAATTAAAAGAGATAGGTATGAAACCCATTTGAGCGAGAATAGTACTAGGATGGGTGACCTCCTAGGAAGTCCTCGTGAAAGGGTTTCATATCTAAGGGTTGTGATAGGCTTGGCGAGCCAACGTAAAAACTAGCCAGTCTTTTGGGTATGAAACCCATTTGGGCGAGAGTAGTACTAGGATGGGTGACCTCCTGGGAAGTCCTCGTGAAAGGGTTTCATATCTAGCCTACCCCAACTTGTTTGGGATAAAAGGCTTCGTAAGAGTAAGAGTGTCTGGCTGCAAGCTGCAACCACTAGGATTCCAATGATAGTTCATCTAAATTGCAGGGTTGAGTATATCAATGATAACAGTTTGTGTGCATCTGCCAGTGAAGTCAACAGCCAGCTAACTTTTCATATTCATTTGGTAAGCAGCAATAATTGAAGATCTATGTCTTGAAAAATTGTCGCATCGAAGAGGGAAAAACTAGACTTAATCCTCGCTGAACCATGTCACATTATCTAGGTAAATAAATGGAAAAAAAAGCATGATGGCTTACAATCAATTTTGTCATCAACTGGTGCATTAGGATGGAATACAGAAAGAGCTCGCACAAATTCTTCAAATTCTAGAATCCCATTGTGCTTTGTGTCGAACAAATCAAACACCTAAATAGATTAAAGTAGAGCATCAATAAGTATTGACATCAGATCATCAAAAAGAGTTGTGTTATATGTCCATGTTCACGAAGTAATGATTTGTAACAGCAGCAGGAAGTGGTAAGTTAAGTCCTTGCAAATTTGCCTACTTCATATTTACATATAACCATGTTTTTAGAGTAAATATACCTAGATTTTGATTTACTGCCTACCTTTGCAGATTTTGGTTCTCATTATAATATTGATATAGGAATAATAGCATAAGATGGAATAAATATTCATAATTTAGATACACAAGTGTACTTATCTACTATGTATGTTTATTGTTTTAAGGTTTTTCCTATTTCGTTATATCATTATTATAGATTAGAGCTCAATTAGCATTAGTTTTAGGCTGTCATAACTTATGACAGCCTAAAGCTACTCAAAAGTCAGCTAGTGCATGGTGAAATGTCAAAATGTTGCGTCAGCAACTGGAGACATATGGGAGTGCAAGCCCAAACGCATAACACATGTGACATGGCAAATGACCAAAACTTCAAAGCTCAAGCTTATAGTGTTTTAGATAACTCCACGGAAAACTGCCTCGTTGCCAATGTTCATACTGCATTCAAGATGCTTCCATGCCATATATAAGTACAAAACACTACATGAAAGGTGAACCAAATAACCAATAGCGCAAAAGAACAAATAAAACAAGTACCAACCAAATATTACAAACAAAACAACATGGACTTTTTGTGACAGCATAACTCCATTAAACAGAAGCCACGCAGACATACCCGGTCAGCAAACATGCTATCTTTCCTGTTAGTCTTAAACAGCGCCAGTTGGAATTCTTCCTGCATATACAACAGGCAAGGCCATGGTATGAGATTGAGCTCTATGGGAGTGTAAGTTGTCAATAACCACACTACACACCCAATGAAATCGGCAGAACTTACTAACCTTATTAATCACACCATCATCAACCACAGCACTGCTGATCTTCTTGAACAGCTCATACAATGCCTCAATCTCATTTACGCTAACTGCACAACAAGGAATTTATAAATGGAGGTACGAGATATTGGCTGATCCGGTAAATGGAGGTAAGAAACTGGAGACAAAGAAACATACAAACTGTTTCCCTTGCCAGACGCTCAGGATCCTCGAGGCCCTTGGGACGATTTGGTATGTCGAGATCGCAGCACTTGAGCAGGAGAGCAGCGAGCCGTCGCAACCCTTCCGGGAAATCCACCATTTCACACTCCACCAGAAGCCAGATCAACGCGGCTCACACACACCTGCGACGATCAACAAGGAGATGCGGATCAACCATGCATGATTGCCAACCGAAAAAATCCCAACCCGCGTGTATTCCAAACGCGAAATCAAGCCAGATATAGAAATCCCTTGGATTTCGAGCGCATTCTCGCCTCAATCGCGCTCTCCTCCGACGCGCTTACCCCTCCACGGATCGGGATCCCCGCGCCGCGACGCGAGGAGAAGCGCGACGACGGCCGATGACACCAAGATTGATGAATTGGGGATTAGGGAGATGAGTTGGGGTGTCACCTCATTGAGCCATCCCTGCGCCGGAGTGTGGGTACGGGAGCGACGGTCGCCGGCGGTGAGGCAGACGAGGCGGTGATGGGAGAGGCGGGAGGAGGAGGAAGAGGAGCGCCACGTCAGCGGTTCTGGAACCTGGGGAGGATGCCGTCGGGATCTGAACCTGGGGAGGATGCCTATCGAGCCATCGCTCGTCTCTCCCGCACGTCCGCTCTTCCTGTCGATTGTTTTTTTATATATTTTTTTAGCAAAACCTGTCCATTGCTATCGTGGGTGCGTCGCTCATCCTGGGCCGGCCCATTAAAACAGAAATCACTCGGCTCCACCTAGCATCTGAATGGGCATGCCACTCAAGAAAAAAAAAACTGGAATGGGCATGGCGAACCAACCTGGTATGTGAATGATTTTGATTGTACTGCGTTAAAAGAAATCTAAACTATTGGTGCGGTCAGCGCTGTATGCCGGGATGGACAAGGTGTGTATATGGGTTCTTCGGCTGTGGTTTTTCACGGGCTGACCGACCCACACATTTTAAAGACTTTAACGTGTCGTGAGGCGCTATCGCTGGGAAGGGACTTGCTACTCCAAAACATAACAGTGGCCTCGGACTATATCTCCGCCGTCAACTCAGGAACTCATGGTATCACTGGCTCAATCGTCAGAGAAATAAAGGACGATTGCGGTGATTTTCATGCTATTTCTTTTGTCCATGAAGGACGTCGCTCCAATACGAAGGCGCATAGTTTAGCTATACATGCTTTGCATTTGGGTGAAGGCGCCATATTTGGCTTCTACAACCCTTTGACACTCTGCTTATTCTTGTAAACCGTTCCATTGATCAATGAAGCATTGCATGTTTTTCCTAAAAAAAAGAAATCTAAACTGAGCATGTTGACGTCAACTCGGAAAAAAAAAGTAGGCATGTTTTTCAAAAAGGAGCACTTTATTACTTACAAAGATTTAAGCATTACACCCGGCCTCTGCATAGCTAAGATGCACATAGCCAAACAATGTCCTCTCATTCAAATAAAAATATAAAAAGACGAAATACAAGGAAAACATGCAGTATCCGTATAACGCCTAAAGCAGAGGGGGGCCAATCCTAAGATTATGTTGCCACCCATGTTGGGTAAAAGTATCCCTCGTCGTAGCCTTCAATCGTATACACGCCTCCATAAACAGGTCTCGATTCTCCACGCATTATAGAGAGGACCATAAACGAAGAGTCTCGGTACATCTTTAGATAACCTGCATAAGAGAAGTACTTTTATCGATACACACGACCATGCATAAGAGTAGGCGTGTAGCGTATGAATTGTTGAATATCAATACACACACGGGATGCCCATACCTTTTGGGGTTTCTTGTGCCTCCCGTGGCGTTGCAGCCGGTCTACCTCGTCTTCTATGGTCTTAGGGTCATGAAGGCGCGGTGGATCCCGGCCCTTACCAGCGAGAGGGCTTCGTTTTTTGTTACTTTTTGAGTTTTATTAAGGTTTATCTCTTTTTTTGGAGAGATGAGGCGGCGGCGGACTCTCTGAAGATGAAATAAGGTTCCTCCCGCTAGCCCATGCCCCGTTGGTGTTCATAGCATCGTCGGAGGGCGCATGGAGGTTTGTCTCCGATGGATATCACAGGATTCGGTTGGCGTTTGTCTTCGGTGTATTTACTTGGATCCGGTCTTTGTTCGTCTGTGTTTATGTGTCTATAGGTTGGATCATTCTAATCTATGCTTCTCTTCATCGACGGCGGTTGCTCTTTAGACTGGTCCTATGTGGCCTTAACACGACGACTTCTCAACTGTCTACTACAACAAGTTACCCAGCTCCGATGAGGGAGGGGCGATGATAGCGTCGTGCCTTCGGCTTACTCTAGTGCTTGTAGTCATCAATAAATGGTCTATGAACCTGAATATACCTTTTACTTTTGGTGTTCTTTGTACTACCTTTACAGTTCAGTTGATGAATAAATCAAAAGTTTTACTCGCAAAAAGAATTGTTGAATATCGATTACTAGTATTCTAGAAAAAGAATATCAATTGCTAGTAATCTTGTGTACGTGCCTATTAGAAAAAAGTCAAATATGTACATGAGCTTCTGTTAGAGATAGAATTCATTTATTTATTGTGTTCATATTTTTGAAAAAAAAAATCTAAATACATATATTCAAAAACTTGAATTTAGTTTATAAAAAATTGAACACTGCGAATTGGGAAAATGTTAACGCGGCATAAAACATCTGTTAGCGAGGATAACAGTTGAAATGTTTGTGACATTAAGAAAATGATGACATATTTTTTAAATTGTACATGACATATCTAGAAAATATTTATACAATGTCAGAAAATATTCGTGTAATTAAAAAAAATTGTACCATTCAAACAAAAAGTACGTTGCATTTAGAAAAATGTTCACATGTTTCGGAAATTATGTGCGTGACTTTTAGAAAATTGTTTATAGAATGTAAAAAAAGATCAGCATAGTTTAAGAAAAATGTTTTGTCTTATTAAAAATGTGTCAACTTGTATTTCAAAAATACTTAACACGTATTCGAAAGAATGTTCAAAAGCATGTGTTTGAAAAATATGTTAATCATGTATTTGAAAATGTAAAACATGTACCAACAAAATGTTTCAGCTATATAAAAAGATGAACAGTGTGTATGAAAAAGTGAACATCAAAACATATATTTGAAAATATGTTAATAACATATTTGAAAATGTTAAACATGTATAAAAAAGTTAGTATGTATAGGAAAAATATATGAAAAAAGTAGACATCTAAACATAAATATAAGAAAATGTTGTTCATTTATTTGAAAAAAGGTTAAACATGTACACAAAATGTTCTTTATATATACAAAAATATGTACAATGTGTATGAAAAAATAGATGCAAAACATATATTTGAAAAAAATGAATCATGAATTAGATTTTTTTTTAAATATATATAAAAACAAGATTCCTGTTCTATAGAAAAAAATGTTCAATGTGTAGAAAGAGGTAACATGTGTTGATAAAAAATAAAAATAAGAATACCAAAAAACCGAAGAAAATTGGTAAAGTGACACAAAAAAAATCAAAAACTAAAAATGAAAGCCAATGAAAACCATAAAGAAAACACGCAGAAGACAAAAAGGAAAAAATACTATGAAAACCAATGAAAAATATAAAGAAAACACACAGAAGAAATAAAAAGAAAAAATCCTATAAAACCAAGAAAACAGGTACAGAAAAAGGAAGAAGGAAAAAACAATTCAAAAGAAAAGAAAAACCAATGAAACCTTTAAGAAAATACACAGAATAAAGAAGGAAAACCATTGAAACCCAAAAAACCCATGAAACAAATACACAAAGAAAGAAGGAAAGCAAACAAATAAAACTAGACAACTCTAGCTAGTGTACAACAAAAGAAGAGGTAGGAATTCAATCTACAATGACTACTACTAGCGAACGAAATGACTACAGCGGTAGAACACACTAATGGGCCGGCATAGAAAATGGTTCAACAGTGAAACCTTGTGGTGAGCCGTATTAAAACTCAATACAAGCGATGTATAGCTCTCGCATGATTTGTTTCCTATTCCAATATTCTGCGGAGGGTATGATGATGTTACCATGGATGGTGGGTTTTGATGATGGGGTCAACCCTTCTACTCCCTCCGTTCGGAATTACTTGTCTCAGAAATGAATGTATCTAGAACTAAAATACGTCTAGATACATCCATTTTCGCGACAAGTAATTCCGAACGGAGGGAGTAGATGTGTACTAGGCCGGAGCCCATAACATGCTTAGTGGGCCTTATTGTTTACTTTTCTCGGCTATAGTGATGCCACGTCTTTTTTGCGAGTTATTTTTTCTCACAAATATGCAAGAGCTTGCATATCTTTGCATTGATAGAAGAAAGTAGAAGGGTGGGGCTACATCATACAACACATGCAGAAAATGGCGTGAGTAATATGACTAGAGCAGCGAGGAAGGGACGGTCATCCCAAAAAAAATCTAAGGTCTATGTCTCGGGGAGAATTTTGTCTATCCCAGATGCACCAGCCCTTGCCCAAGCACGTGTCTCCTGTTGGATGGACTCTAACATGTTTGTGGTCGAAGGGTTCATGTCGTCGAAGATGCAACCGTTGTGGTGCTTCCAAAGCTAGCACACACAAAGAATGATGACCGAGGAGTTTCCTCGGTGATGCAAAGTAGGGGCATGGAGGCATGAGCAACCCACTAGTTCAAGAAGGAGGTAGCTAGGTCTGGTGGCATCATTGTCGACTCGCACGAAGACAGAGTGATGTGCCAAACTTGTTATGAGAAGGAGTAGCCCACAAGGAGATGATGGATATCTTCATGCTCCTAGTCACACGACGCGCAAATCTCATTATTTGTTAGGCCTCGGCGAGCTAGTTGGTCTGTAGTCCAGCAATAATCATGCAAGGTGATTAGTCCCTTAAGTGATCCGATTGTTGGGGTACGTTGCAGAAAATAAAAAAATTCTACGCTTCACCAAGATCAATCTATGGAGTCATCTAGCAACGAGAGAGAGGAGTGCATCTACATACCCTTGTAGATCGCGCGCGGAAGCGTTCAAGAGAACGGGGTTGAGGGAGTCGTACTCGTCGTGATCCAAATCACCGGAGATTCTAGCGCCGAACGGACGGCACCTCCGCGTTCAACACACGTACGGTTGGGAAGAC